GTGAAAAAATAAATAAACTAAGTTAAAATATAACTCTACTATTTTTTATATTTTTTGTGATTTTTAATATTGAAATAAAAATATTTAAAAAATAAATAAAATGAGAATAAAATAAAAATAAAATAATAATGGGTCAGGGGTGTAAATATGAGACAGGGAGGAAATGTTAGAAAAATACAATAGGCCCATGAGGTGGAGGCCCAACGCTGCAAGAGGCAAAAAAAGAAGTGGAAAATGTGAGAAAATGCAAAAGGCAGCACGCTGAGGCTCGAACCCATGACCTCTAGCAATAACGCGCGCTGCCTTATCACTGGGGTGGTTGTACATCCGTTTATATAAAAAAAACCATAAATATATATTAGAAACTGCTTTCTGAAGGCAACTTCATCTTCAACCTTGAGCGATGGCCGGACCACCTGTATCTTCCTCATTTCTCCACAAAAATGGAAAGTTCAAACATGAAAGTTGTGGTGTTTCTTCCAACGAATTCAACCATATAATTTATCTAAACTAAAAGTCAAAGATAAAATCTAATTTTACTGGCCCTAAATTGAAACCTAATTTTCTCAAATTTCAAATCCAAAATTCTCTATACACAATTAATATAAATGGAAACTATGAAAATGGTTAGCTTTAGAGCAAGGATATCTACATTTTGTTTTCACAAATCAGGATCAAATGATGCTTATATGAAGAGATAAAAGTTTGAGTTTTTACCTCTTGCAGCTGGAGTCGTGAATGGAGTTTGAGCAACTTTTGAGATGGCCTGAAGATCTGTTTAGCTTGCCTGGACCTCCTTGAGTGTATCCCAACTCTTACTTTGCCTTGAATGTCCCTGAATCTCTCTACTCAAGTCAACCTGCAAGCTTAGTTTTTAAAAATGGTGGATAGTGATGGAGGAGTTACAGTGAGGAAACAAGGGTATGGATTGCTTTAGTATGATTTATAGAAGGTGTTTGAGTGATTAGTTTTCAAAACGCACGAGTGGAAATGAAGATCATGAGTTTTGGTTCATAACTGTATGTTAATGGTGCTCTTGAACAGGTTTTTGATTTTTGAATGTTTGAGGTAGTTTCAGGGCAATAGCATTCTTGTGTCAACTTGCAAATAGTGTGTCTACTTATAAGCAAGAGGTTTTAAGACTTGTAACAACTCAAATTTCAAAAACTCACATGTTTTGCTTGGTTACTTGTTTTTGAAGCAAAGCTAGCAAGCATGGTTTCAAGGTGAAATACAAAGTTTGTAGGGGGCTGAGACCTTTAAACACACTTGTTCTGATTGTGTGGAGTGTGTTTGTGCAGAAAGAACCAATGCAAGGCTCAATGCAAGCTGACTTTGCAAAAAGCTTGCTTTTCTAAAATGGCAATGTTGCCTTTCTTCCCAAAGTGGAATTATATTTGTATAATGCATTGAATGCTTGGATTAAAGCTTCCAACAGTTGTGAAAACATTTAATTATAGAGTGAAATTCAAGTTAGAGGCCTGAAAAGTGGGATTTATACAACATGCTTGAGGATTGGATCCAATGTTCTTCACAAAATGGCTTATAATCCAAGTGACAAAACACCAACTTCATCTCTTCGATTCTCCCTACTCAAGAATGATCTCAAGGAGTTATGAGACATTTTGGAAATCTTGCAATATGATATACAACTCATCTTTGAATTGCTTTTGAAGATTCCTCTTGGAACTATGTGAAAAATTGCCATGAAGTTAGGTAAAAAATCTACCTAATTAGGGCAAAATTTCACTAAGTCATTTTTAGTTCATGAGCATGTATTCACAAAATTATAACTTGAGATCCAAGCATTTTAGGAGAATTTGTGTGAAGCAAAGTTGTAGATTTCATGGAGATCTACAACTTTCATGTTGGAAGTTTCTCTTGAATCATTTTGCATCATGGTGAAAATTTGGCTCAAAGTTGTGAAAAAATAAGAAATTTTCTATACTTAGAAAAATTTCTAAAGTTAAGAAAATTCATCTTTTCAAAATAAAATCTTGAATTCTTGATTTCTTGGTGAACAAGTTTCATGTTTTGACATGTTTTGATGAATTATGATCTTTGGCATTTGATTTTGACCAAAAAGTCAAAGTTTGACTTTTCAGTATACAGTTGGCTTTTGATTAGTTGATTGAAAAATTCATCTGTCAATCTAATGGATTTGTAGTGTTTTGAACCATGTCATTAGGTCAAAGTGATGCAATTGGATTCTTGATATCATGCCTTAACCCAATTGATCATTTTCTAGGTCAAAAATCAGAAATTGCCCTTTCCTAGTCAAAATCCTAATTTTGACCATTTTGCCCTTTTGATGATTTAATCAAATTTCTTGAGGAGTTGTGGTCCAAACTTGATCAAATGACACATATGAGTTTAAAATGTTGGTGTGGATCAAAAATTATGAAGTTTGACTGTAAATTGGTCATGGTTGACTTTTTTCCCAATACAGCTGATTTTTAGGTCAACTGTTCAATTGACTGATTAAAAGTGTGATCCAAGGCTTGAAACTTGACATGGGTGATCTTGGAGGTCCATAATAGTCCATGAAAGTCATATGAAGCATTGATAGTCCAAAAATCCTTGTGCAATCTCAAACGCTAATGTTCAGTCATCAGTGCTTGAGGAGGTGTCTTGAGTTGATCAACCCAAATGCAGTCTTGATCCCCAGGAGATCTTGTGAAAATTCTTGATAAGTGAGAGGGAAAATTTTGCGGTACAACACATATAATTGTTGAAATTGTACATGCATAATTTGTTGTCAAGAGAAAATATTTGTTAGTTTTGTGGAAGCTAGTGACTTGTCCCAAACCTAGAGGGTTAGTTTGAAGCTTAAAGGAAAGACTTTTTTGTGGTTATCTGTCTTGGAGATGGACCGGGTTTAAACAAAAAAACCGTGTAAGGATAACAATTGGTACCACATGTATATTTCATTGAGTTGCATTCGAGTCACATGCATCGATGTGAAATGTGTAATTGGTGCGCATTATGTAATATTAATGTGAATGTTACATTGGTGGTATTTGTGATTGGTTACTTTTGAATCATGAATTGTTGAGTAATATTGTATATGTAAACATGTAAGTTAGTTTGGATAATGTTGAATACATGAATATATGAAGTATAATGAATTTAATTGATGTATGTATGTTGTGCATTACTTATTAATGTATATTTCTATAATGATGTGAATTATCACCCTTCTGTTAAAATGATGTTTTATACGACATCACTCAAATATTGAAGAGTAGTGTTGCTTTCTCACAAGGATTAGCCGGGGGAGCTAGTTCTTTGTTTATCCGATTTTAGGTACTAAGTCATACTCTGGTTATGTAACACGGGAGAATGTTTGAAATCATATTGTTTTAAGAGATGTTTAATATACTCTCTTTTTTTATATTGTATTTGAGATTATATGAAGAGTGACCTTTAGTGCCTAATATTTAAATACATCATTTCTATTATGAGATTCAATTATTGGTATCGTTGTTTAAAGAGAATTATTCTGTTGTGGTATGCATATGTGTTAGTATATGGAACATGATTTTAAATGCGTGTTATGAGCATGACCGGTGTATTATGTTGGTTTTGAAGTACATGTGACGCCTTCTTTTGATATTCATGATAATTTTACTCTGATTATGCCGTATTATTGTGCGGGGGGTTAGGGGGTGTTACACCTTGCACTTTGGACAGTGATTATAGTTTACATACTCTTTTCTGTATAGTATGAAATCATTAGGGAATGCATGTATCTTTTCATACTTCAAACCCATCGGACACAATATTTTCTTCGCCTCGTAATAACGATTTGACATTATGTTACCTTCTATAAGCATTTGTGTCAACAATTCAAGCAATTCCGTAAAACTTTTGTCAGTCCACTCATTAATTTCCTTCAGATTAAACAATTCTAACACAGATGACAAACATGTAAAATTTATGCATCCCGGGTACAAAGGTTTATCATTATCATTGTCATTGCATAAAGTATCATACGCATGCGCCCTCTTAAACGAATCTTGTCGAATATCACGCATCATGTCTTCCAGACGATCATCCATTTCTACACTAACATTATTTCTTTGGGACACATTTGACTTTGCTACTACTTCACCGTGCCATATCCATTATGTATAACTTTGACAAATCTCTACACAAATTAGATGATCCATGATTTCTTTCTTACTCAATTTTGATTCTTGATTTGCACAACGAACACATGGACAGAGAAAAGTGCATGAAAACTTTTTTCAACATTACTTTTAGGAGGAGGAAGATTTTTTTTAGCATTACTTTCAGCAAACTGTAAAAATTTCATAACTCTATGTCCGTACTCAACACTTAATCAATTAACTCTCATCCAACTACGATCCATATCTATATTCAGAAATTAATACATACATAATTAATTAAGTATTTATAGCATAAGTACTTATTTTAAAGATCCATACCTATAGTAATTAAGTGTTTATAGTAACTACGACCCACACCTAAAATAATTAAGTTTTTATAGTATAAGTACTTATTTTAAAGATGTTTGGTTAGTTTAGTTTAGTTATCATACACATAAAACTTTCAGATGCATTTGTCCGAATGGTATTTTTTTCCTGTATTTCAAATATTTCGTACCGTACTTAATAAATTATTGAGCGTTCTTTTAATAGTTTTAGTACCGACGTGATTATTAACGGTAACTTTTTTGAATTCCATTCCAATTCAGAATTGTAACTTGTATATCTTTCGGATAGGATTATTTGAGCTTATGTTAGACCACAAGTTGTGATAGCATTACTCATAAACTTTTTTAAACTTATAAGAATTTAAATTTATTTTATCAAAGAAAGCACATATAAACTTTTTTGAATCTTTTATTATAAAAATAGCATATGAAAGTTTTTTCAGAAGTGCTTATTTTGCTAAGCACTTATGACAGTCTTAAATTAAAGACACACCATTATTCCTTGTTCAATTTCAGAAATTAAGAACAAACAAAATCAAACATGATAAATTTCAAGCATGATAAGAACGCAGAAGGTGAAAGAGGACAAACCGACGACGACGTTAGCAGGCTTGCGCGGACGAGGGAGGGAGATGTTTCTGATGCATTTTGCATTTCTGATGCGACGGTCACAGAGCAGCTTGCAGCGGCTGTGTTAATTTGTGTGTGTCGGTGTGCAGTTGCGTTGGTACGTGATGGTGGTGACAGGACTTCAAAGTAGCCTCGACGGTATCGGAGAATCGGACTAACGGAGAATCACAGAGTCTTGCAGGAGATGAAGGAGTCACGAGCAGATGGCGGATATGGTGAAATCGGTCAGAGAGAAAAAAAGGAATGCGGCAGTGGTAGTTTGGAAACAAAAGGAAATGTTTGTAAGGCAGAATATGGTTTTGTGAAAATTGATGCTTGAGGATTTCACATCAGTTGAGGGAATGCCTGATGTAAAAACTCGCCTTTCATATCGGGTTGATAGTTGACCCAATGTAAAAGTTCGATATAACAGAACTTTATTTTATTTACGAAACTGTCACTGCGTAACTTTTTTTATCAGGGGATTTTTCAAAGTGTAAATCTAGATCCGATGAAAAATCTTTTATAATAAAATTTTATTTTATTTACCAAACTGTCATTATATTATATTTTTTTCTAAATCAAATATTTTTCACATCATTGAAAATAAATGTTTCATCTAAAATCTTTTGATAAATATTTTTCACATCATATATCTTGAAATCTAATGTAAAAACCTTTAACAAAATATCTTATTTTTAATAGTGAACTTGAGACGCTTCAATCATAGTAGCACTCAAGGGAGCGAGTTCAAAGAAGAAGGTGAAGTCTCTATTCTTGGAACTTAAAATGATTGTAACTGAAAGTTAGTTACAAGTGAATTGAAGTTAGTTAGACGGAGGAATGGATCGAACTTGGTGAATGATAACATAATAAAATGTAAATTTCATTGCATTATGCTTAATGAGTTAGTTCTTGTACAAAGCCATGACACTCATATTTATAGAAGTTCAAGTGCTACCATGCTAAACTCATGCATGGAGTTCTCATGTCTCTATGCATCTCTACTATACACATATGCATGGTGATATACATTTGCATTCTTTATACACACATATATGGTGCAAATACACTTCATACTAAACATAAAATGCCTATCTTATACTACACTTCTAAGTATAGGTTCGATTTAAAATAGGTTGATAAATTATATTCAATATAAACATTAATTTAATGGAAAGAGAGAAGAAAAAGTAATAAAAATCAAAACTGCATAATAATACAATATATTTTTTCTGCTGAAGTATACTTATGTACTGAGATGAATATAAACAAATTCCAAACACTCTAGTTGCATACTTTTTCTGGAATGACCCTTAGTGGTTGAGCTTTATCTAATGTGATTCCAAATTTATCCTCCATGTACATGTCATCAATTGTCGTCTTATCATCAACTTTCCAATTAAAACAATTGATTAATGAACCTAACATCAAATACAATACCTTTGTAGCTAACAACAAACCAGGACAAATTCTCCTTCCAGCACCAAACGGCGTAAGCTCGAAATTGTGACCTTTAATATTAATTTTAGATTTTAAAAATCTGTCTGGTGAAAATAAATTTTCATTTTCCCAAACACTTGAATTTCTACCAATAGCCCACACATTGACCCAAATTTGTGCATCTTTTGGAATTGTGTAGCCTTCAATTTCCACATTTGCATTGGCTTTTCGAGGGAGTAAAAATGGAACAGAAGGGTGTAATCTAAAAGTCTCTTTTATTATTGCTTGTAAATAAGGAAGCTTAACAATATCTGAATCTTCAATTGGTTTTCCTTTGCCAATGATTTGTTCCAACTCTTGTTTTGCTTTTGACATGATATTTTCATTTTTAAGCAATTCTGACATTGCCCATTCTATCGTAGATGAAATTGTATCCGTACCAGCAACAAATAAAGTCTGATAAATAAAAAACACTCCATGATTATACTATTAAAATCAACAAAATATAACTTTCTCTCTTCATTATAAGGGAAAAAGGGACAAGAAAGTACCAGAGATAAATGTTGGATTTTTATTTTGTTCATATCTTTTTGGCTGCTGTCTTGGGCAATGTTGAGCAAGGTACTTAGCATGTCATTGTTTGTGTCGAAACCTTGTACTTCCCTCAGCTTCACTCTTTCGTCAACTAGACGTTTGAAGATATCAAGGATCTTCCCAGCAGAAGCAGAGGTGCGAGCTTTAATACCTTGTGGGTCAAACATCCTAAGTGCAGGAAAAAGATCTGCAATGTTTGGTTTTCCACACTCTTCCATTATATTCACAACTAGCTCCTTGAAATCTCCAACTGAACCAGCAGACTCAACCAAATCTAAAGAGAAAATAGTATTCGATAACAAATTAATCGATGTCTTAAAAGCCATATTTCTAATATCAACAGCTTCATGAACAAGACTACTTTGATTAATATCATTGAGTAATTCTTTCAGTTTCTGAAGCCTAATTCCCTTACTCTCATCAAGTGTCTTGTTAGAGAATAATTGATTACTACATATTTTTCTTAAGTCTCTCCAAAGAGGTGAAACGGGTAAGAATGTCATGCTATATTTGTGGTGATCATGAACTGTTACAGCATTTGGAATTGTTCTGTTGGATAAGATATGATCATGAGTTTGGAGTATTTCTTTGGCCATGTTGGGTGAAGAGACAACAATGGTTGTTACTTGACCTAGCTTTAGACTCATGATTGGACCGTGAATTTCAGCTAAACTGGCTAAGGATTTATGAGGCTTTTTTCCTAATTGGTGGAGGTTTCCTATAAAAGGAAGAGGAGTAGGGCCTGGTGGAAGTTTGATCATGTTTGAGTTATTTTTTGTGTATTTAGAAAGTAGAAAATAGAGAGTGAATGGTAATAGAAGTAAGAGGAACATACAAGTTGGCAAACACTCCATCTCTTAAACAAAGAGATGTATGGTGTTGTAGCTATTCAGATACTATATATGCAACATGAAGGGAGTAGAAATATATCTATTTATAATATTTTATTATAACAAAAGCACAAAAGCATATGTAATATTGTAACATCATTAAAATTAATGCGGAATTATTAATACAGAAGCAACAAACCTTATTTTCTGATGCGGAAGCGTTAGAAATCTTTCATACATATTCTACTTGATAGAATTTGATGTAACTATTCAATTTTAAAACGTTTCTATTTCCTAATCATCATTTTTCATTTCTTTCCATTAAATATACTTTGTTTTATCTTGTCTTTAGAATTTTAATAGACAAATTCTTGCATTATTCAATTCTTATTTTTTTTTAGAAGATATATATTAATGGATAACTAATTTTATTATACACAAATAACAGGTAAACAGAGAATAAATTGCGTCGTTATCTTTTTTTTGGGTGATAAAATCAATTTTCTTAAAAACTACATTTATAGTCCTAGGTGACACAACATTGATATGCATGAACATTTACACTCTCTGTAAAAGATTCACCGCTTCTGGTGGTAAAAAATCAAAAGTGTCAAAGGCAAATGGTATAAAGCATGTTGATTGTCAGAACATGTTTTCTCATGCTTGGCCACTTTGCTTGAAGCGGTTTTGAGAGTTGATTGTCCTACAGTAAAACCTTCAGTCCTCAGTCCCACCAATGAAGAAATCCTAGTCAAATCTACATATGCATGTTTTCCTCCTACCCATTCATACATACACTAGAACATTTACTCGCCTAAGAGTCAACCTCCCCTCCTGCGGGTCAGCCAAGAAATTCACATGCGCCTCTTTCTTCACAAATACTCATGAACGCCTAAATATGTCAAATAGGACATCCCTAACGAAGTCATGTCGGTATTTGAATCCTGAAAGCTCTTTGCAATGAATATCATTTCCCCCAAATGTATTCAAGCACGCATTGCGATAAATAGGGAAAACCTCATCAACGAGAAATAAGGGAATAATAAGTCGGTATTTAAGGATGGTACGGTACTCTACCGGGGACATATGTTGGCCTAGACCAACAATAGGGATAGCAAGGAGAAAATCTTGAGTATGTGGTGCCTGCAAACAACTAAAAACAACTTTATGTCTTATAGTCATGTCAAACTTTACTTCCATGTCCTGAACACTTTTACTAAAATAGGCACTCGCCAAAATATGTTGTGCTTTAGGGGAGACGATGTCCTTTCTAGTAAAACTGCTAAGCTCAAATGCTGGAATCACACCACTATGATTATCCAACGCTCTGTCAAAATCAAGATCCATAATATATACCCCATTGTCTCTCAATATATGATCATGTAATACCCAAGACTGCGCCCTAGAAGCCACAAATGCATATGAGGATGCATCTACTGCTGATTACAAACCCAATCCCCCACTCTAATAGGTAAAGAACTCACTCTCCATTGAACATCCTCGAAAAAAAGACCTCCACCAACCACAATATCTTCAACCGTCCTTCGTAGCTCTCTATCAAACCAAATAGTTGTTTTCTTTATATGATTAGGTTGACATATTCTAAGGCCAAAAAAGAGTTTAGCAAGACTCATGCTATCATACCCCAAATTTTTCCTACTGGTTCCTAATTTTTCGTTAAAATTTTTTTGCTTTATAAAATATTATTCATATAGTTATGGATATTTAAAGTTTAAAGAGGGATTTATCTTATAAAGAGATTAATAGGCCTTTCTAAATCAGAAAGGACCCATGTAGAATTTTTAGTCCATTTTAAATACTAAAGGGAGAGGTGCATGCATTTGAAGAGATCTTGGGTCATTTAGAAATCAGAACGGTCTATTTAAGTGGGATGATGTATAAAACAATTCATTTCGTTTGAAGTCCAATGTAATTAAACCTGAAGGCCCTTTTACACATAAAAAGGAAGAGGGGTATTGTTTTTGAAGTGAGTAGGCCTAATAGTTAAACTTTTGGCCCATTTCAATTTTTTGTTTTACTAACAGGTTATCCTTATAACATTATTAAAATATATTATTATTAACATTACTATTATTTTACAATTATGAATTATTATTACTGATTATTTTTTAGATCTTTATTTTTAATATTTATTTTAGTTTTTGGAGATATTAACAAAAAGGCTTTTTCACACGGGTTCATCTCCAAGCCTAGAAAGAACAAGCCCAAAACAAAAGACAACGTGTGACCCATAACCTAAAAACAGACATTGTTCAGATCATGAATAAAGAAATGCTCATTTTAAAAAGGAAACAAGTATTGTACAAATCCAAAAGGGAAATAATGTGTGTTTAATGAAAACAGACATTGTCCAAATCTTTATTCAAACAATCATATCTTTACATAATTATAAAAATGATTACATAATCAAATCGAATCGAAAATTACAGAAAAAATCAAAACATTTTCTAGTTCTCTAATTCCCTAATCAACAGAGTAATGACAAATTGAAATTGTCTCCTAACATACTAAACTCAAAAAGCTATAAAAGGCCTAAAATCTAATTAGACAGGGGGGGGGGGAAAGAAGTTTACGGGAGAGAAAAAAATTACAGAAGAGAAGAATCAATACAGAGGAGCTTTTACAGAAAAATAAAATTCCAGAGTGAAATTTACAAAAAGGGTTTACATAGCTTGAAAGGCAGAGTTTGAGAGAAGAAGGAGAGTGTCGTTGCCGTGAAACTCCACACCATCACAATCGTCTGATATCTACAAAAACGAAAGAGAAAAGAAAAGATCAGGATGATTCAGACAAAATATGGAGAAACACAGAGATCTACGGCGAAGAAGGTAAGCCTCGTTTTACTTAGCTTAAGGAAGTTGCACGATTATTTGATGATATGAGGTTATCTGGGATCTAAGTCATGGGGTTTAGGTTTCATCACCGCCGATTAGGGCTCGCTGGTAACGGTGGCGATTAGGGTTCTTTGATGTTTGTTTGGGTGAGAGAATAGAGAAGAGAGATGAAAACGGGTTTGAGAGAGAAAGAAGATAACAAAAATGAAATATATGTTAAGTAAAACAAATTATATTATACATAGAGATCATACGCTTGTCACCCCACGCGTGTTATCGCGCATCCTCAACTGTATCCATATGATCATCATCCAACGGTATAGAAAATGTGCACCCACCACATTACAATACTCCTGTCCATATAAAGTACAAGCAGGCCTCCTCCCCAATGATTTCTCGTCGGGTCGGGCCCAATATCTAAATACTCTCCATTTTTTTATACTTTTGCTAACTGCGTAGGAACCCAGCACCCCCCAACCTTAACGGGCCAAGTTATCTGGACTTGGACCCTTGCTTCCTCACACCCCTAGATTTGCTGAATAGTTTAAACCTATACCCCCCCCTGCGTTGGGCCTGAATTCAATATCTGAATTCAGGACCCTGCTATTTATACCCTCATTTTTTACTAGCCTAACCTAATTTGCACCCCTCTTGCATTTTTTAATTTATTTCTTTTTATTTATTTATTATGATTTTTATGTTTTATACTTTAATATATTTATAAATATTATTATTATAAATCAAATATACTTTCCAACTCATCAAAAATATTTTTTTTATTTATTGCATTAAATTAAATTATTTTAAGCATACATTAATTAGATATTTTCATAATTAATACACTAAAAATGTTTAACCAACCATAAATCATTTTCATAATCAAATTAAACAACAATCAATCTTTCAAAAAAGGGTTGCGAGTATATTTAAATCGACTGTGCGCTTTGTCTAAAATCTCCACTATTCACACATCTAGACTAAGTACGCAGGAAATGCAAATATCTTCGTAATCCATAAAAAATACAAACCAACTGCGAATTACGAATTGGAACTCTGATTCCTCATAAGAGGATATGTAGGCATACGACTAAAAGCATGGCGAGTTCCCCTAATAAAACACTAAAACCCTATTTCCTAAGATCGCGCTTCTAACCCTAGTATCCTTGTGAACAAGGTAGATGAGGGGTGCCTAACATCTTCCCTTCATCTAAAACCGAGTCAACAACCTAAAATCTCTAATTTTTTTAAGGTTATCCTTTATACTCCCTTCCTTAGGATAAAAATTAAGGGTGGAGACTCTAAATTTAAAACCAGTTACAACACATACAAGAACAAAATAAAAGAAGCTCACTTTGAGGATCCCTTAGTTGTGATAAGAGATGCATGAAGCTTACATTTTTACTTTGAGGGGCCACACAAAATCTAATTTTAGCATCAAGCTTTTTCTAGATTCAACTTCATATGATTTTCTAAATAAATTTTTATCATTTTAACAATCTACACGACTATACATGTTCCTGTCTAGAACAAATATACGGTCGACTTTCTAGGAGGTTGCTAGGAAGAGCCTACTAGACTGAGTTTATGAGATGATTGATGGATTCGGGAGCTACGAAAGTGATGCATGCGTCTCAATATGAATGTCTTGCTTATCCCTCATCAAGAGCCCCTTTATATTGTGTTCCGTTTTTGGACACTATGATTTTGAGCAGCCCAAACCTGCAAATAATGTTTTTCCAATAGAAGTGACGTACCCTTTCGCATGTAATATGTGCCACAACCTCGACTTCCACCCATTTTGTGAACTAGTCGACAACCATGATGAGAAATTTCAATTGTACTGGAGCTACGGGGAATGGTCCCAGTATGTCTGCTCCCCGTTGGTAGAATGGCCATGAGGAAAAGATGGAGTGCAGTAACTCGGACCGGGAGTGTATGAATGGTGAATGTACCTGGCATTTTTCACATTTTCTTACGAATTTGATGCAATCTTGTAACATTCAAAGCCAATAATACCCGGATCAGAGTATCTTCTCGGACAGGGCTCTTCCTCTGATGTGGCTTCCACACGCCCCTTCGTGGACTTCCTTCATTACTAAGGTAACCTATGCATCTATCATACATCTCAACATGGGTGTGGATCTTCCAATTTTATATAGTTTGTCAGAC